TGCTCAAATTAACTTCCAATTTTGGGCAGAGAATCATATTTTTTCTGACCTTTGAATTTTCGTGTATGTTAGCCCATTTGTTACATATTTAATTTGTACAACCCTGGATTTTGTAAGATGTGGGCTGGAACTTGTTTTTTCCTTTAATAGTGAATGAATTAACGTTCACAAGCAATAATGCGAAATTGCTTTTATAGTTTGTCTCTAGGTGGGCTCAAACTAAAGCTAACAGCACTCACGATTCATGATAATCTAAAACAACCAAAAATCGTGAATACACACTTAATTAGCCTTTAATTATGGTTTGGTTAGGGTTACCACAAGTTCTCTTTTCCCCGAACATGTCATATTTTTGAAGTAGGAAAAACTGTCCGCGTGGATTTCACAAGAAAGGATGATTTTTTTTTTTTTGATTTTTTAAAATTTTTTTGAAGGGGAAACTTAATTTAAAATGGAAGCTAGACGAACGATATACAAAATATTCAGCGTTTCTCCACGACATCATAACGTTTCATTGTAATATAAATAAATGAATTAACTTCATCTCACCTAACAACCGCCAAAATCTGTAGATCTACGACTGTCATTAGCTGGTGCGATATTGTAAACATCTATGAAACGAAACAAAACAATCAGCTAGTGAAGTGTCGTGTGAATATTTCAGTCTCCAAGCCTTGTATTCCATTCTAAACTCCTAAAAACTGGCAATTTTTTTAAATTTTGTAATCCCTAGCCACAGTGCTAACACAGAACGTATCTTCTCTCTTCTAAATGAAGTGTTCCAAAGACGAACAGGTTTAACAATGAAAATATTAACGGTGTAGTGTGAGTTCAATACAACTTGAAAGCGGCCCAACTTGCAAGACCTCAAGGACCCCAATTAAAACCTTCAATATGATTGCGGGTCATATTAACATTACTCGAGCAATCCTGACTTCCCGTATTCTTGATCTCGGCAGTTTGCCTACCTGCTCTGAAATGGGAGGAGGGAGGGAGGATGAAAATGCGTGGTATCGGTCCATATTATTCACAACGCAGGGTAACGCAATAGAAAATTTTAAATTACTGAAATTACTAGGAAAAAGATCTTAAATCTATACTAAACTTTTTTTTTACATTATGAGGACCCCGACAGGGCGCCTGCGCTAGGTGCGCAATCTTCTTGGCTGACATAGGCGCAAGGAACTTTCACTTTTGATTAATAACCTTTCGCGGGCAACAATAAATGATAGTGCGGGCTGTACGTGATCCGCGGGCCGCCAGTTGGACAACCCTGATCTAACCTGTATGAGTTCTTACGAATACTTATTGGGAAATAAATTTTTGAGGAAGATTTCATCAACCTCAAAATAGTTTTGGTATAAAAGTGGGAAAGGCAGTAATGAACATGAGGTAGACCTAATATGTAGTATTGTGTGATGTGAAAATGGTGATACTTATTGAAATATTGACTTTGAAGTTATTAAGTAATTCTATAAGAAACATAAATTATAATAAAATTTACAGAAAATGTTCTCTTTTCTATACGAAATGTCTTCTTTTTCGATAATGGAAGTATAGTTACCTTAGATTTGGTATTGTGTGTCTGTGGGGGGGGGTGTTTCTAGCATTAGATGAGAACCCCCTCCGAAGACTAAGATTCTCTCCAACTTCTATCTATAGCAAGTAGATTTGTTTACGATGAATTAAGTATACCTAAGTCATGTTCAACGATCCCTGAAGGGTGACGGTATAGTACCAAAAAGTGTATTAAATTTGTGGACGAAGAATGATTCATACATGCATTAAAAAGGAATGTGTGGTTGCGCCTTATGCTGAGACCACGATTCTTACTAGGGACGAGAGGTCAATAATAAGGATATCAATCTAGGCTGTGACCTTCCAAAAATAAACACATTAGGCGTTCGCAAATCCTTAAGAGCCCATTTCGATGCGATACAGAGGAAAGCTAACAATTCTTAGAGCCACCATGTTTGATTAGCGTTAGTTGATAAGAGACAGAAGAACGATATCTCCGTGTGGCCTTGCTCCTGTTATCCACTCAACGAAATATTTTTCACGTTACCCTCTTTCTTCAGATTAGGAATGGTATCACAATTATGAATGTGACAAGTTTTCTTGATGTTAATTTCTCAGATATTAAGCATTCACGCATTCTTCATCCCCCTCTGTAGAAAATTGATTAAATAATTCAACACATGGACGAACTATTGTTTTGCTATAGTGCAGAAAACTGCATTCTTGAAACATACGTAATACGCAAATACAGTATGTATGAGGGGGTACATTTGGCATATGCACATACTATTTTTTGTGTTGCCTCTGACAGTGTTTAATATCTGCGAGAGACTTCAGCTATAAATGCACCTCGGGGGAGGTCCTACCAAAATTGTTCAAGTACTTACAGTTAGATTATTATTATTATTATTATTATTATTATTATTATTATTATATACGAACCTCAAAACATATTTCTGCCAAAATATCAATATCAACGGTTTGCAGTATTGCAACACTTTATAGAACGTATACGAGAAAATAATAACAATCCAAAATGTCATGGGTTAAACTAAAATTCGGAGGAGATGCCAGCATTTTCAAATCACATCCTTTGTTGTTGCCTCCAATTCTTTACGCGACAGAGACTGCCACACTGGTTGGTACTTATAAACTTTGAGAATAACAAGATGCGACACTATTAACACTCACTCGGGGCTCTATTAACATTTAGTTTGAGGTTTGCTTTGGCTTATCTAGTTACTGCCACAAGCTTTACAATTTTATTAATGATATTTTCAACTCATCATAGTTGCAGAAGAAAAAAAAGTTTGCGTGGTTTCTTGAAATAATAATTATTGACTAACTATTATTGACGTAACGCGAAATACCGTAGTTACTTAAGAATGTCATTTTGTGCAAATTAACTCTCTGACGTAATCTAAACTAGAACCATGCGCGAATGTCGCAACTGCCTGTGACAATCCTCGTTACTCGGTTTCTCCATGTATATATTGACCTTTGTCGATACCGATTTCTTCTGTGATATTCGAACAAAATAGTTATTACATCGTGTATACATAAAATTTCACAAATCTAAATGCCAACTCTCATTTCTATCAAGCTAACAGTTAGCGAAGGAAATTTAGGCCAAAGTAGTTTTGATTAATATGCGCTATGGCATTTAATTGCCTGTTAAAATGTTATATTAACACATGCAGTTACAAAATGTTCGTGGAAAAATGAATTGTAGCAATGAGTTATCGTGAACTTCTGATAAACCTGCATTTTCATATACCTAATACCATTTCATCCTGATCAAAGTTCTCTCTCTATCAACTTTAATGTTTTATTAATATTCTGTTTTCTCGGCATTTGAGCAGTTTTCCCAATAAATCAGTTGACTGTTCTTAAGAAAACTTTTCATATGCTACTTGGCACAATGCAGAATCCTGAGCGGAGGGGGAGGGAGCGACCAAACAACAATCACTGAAGGCGCACAGGGGCCAGGGTGGCCGTGCTCCCTCCTACAATTTGCGAAAGGAGCCCCGTAGCCCTACGTAATAACATATTTTAGTAAATATGATCAATTCCTCAATTTCTCTCATTTTAATCTGGCAATTTGGGGACTTGACACTTTGGGGGAAAAGGCTCTTTAAACCAACCGTAAACTCTGCAACTCTGAAAATGGTTCGTAAAATCAATTGAATGTATTAAATTCAATGCTTAAAATTACAATTTCATTCTCCTTGTGGCATATTATATTTATTTTATAGTAAAATGTCAGATTAAATAGAAATGTAATGGAAAAGGGGGCGCAGAATTGTAGATGTCACCCTGTCTTGTTTTTATGCTGAGCCTAAAAACATATGAAAACTCCTATAGCGACAATCATTTAAAAAAATCATATTAAAAGTCTTAATTGGGGTACGAGAGGAGTAAGGGTATTAGACTTATCACGAGTGCTCTTCGCTCTACGAAAAAAGAATCTCTTGATATAATTTAGATATAATTCTGCTAAAATGAAAATAAATGAAAACGGAGAGGACTAACGTGTAAGTCATGAAGGAGTGCGACGTCTGCTGGCATTAACCCATAAACTTTTTTGGTCAACTAAAACTGTATTTCATGGTCTTAAAAATTCTATTTACTTCTCCTATGTCTCCCACTCGCCCTTGTAAGGGCACTATTTAATATATTCACATTTAATCACAGCACTGTGATTCCATTATCTAAATTTCAGACCTAGAAGACCCAAAGGTGGATTAATACATTAGCTTATTAAGTCTGTGCTTAGTACCCGCACAGAGTTAGGAGTCCTCAGTAATTTTAAAAATATTATTTTTCAAAAATATGGAAAATGTAAAATCTCTACTTATCTAAAAATAATGACATTTTTTTAAAATCGCGTTTATAAAAACTCTTCACAATTATTTAAACGAATATTTTTTTTAAATTGCCTGGATATTGTATTAATTATTGTCATATATATAAATGGAAATCATGTTAGTTTTGTTTTCGATTTATCGAACTTACAGTTTTGATTACTCGTCTTCACGATTTCAATATTATTAGGTTGTTCCATAGTTTGTTTAGCTAAGGACCCCTTCATCCAGTCCCGGATCGGGTTTGACCGCACCTTTCAAAAAGGACCTACGCGTGGGACAATATGTAATGCTGACAAGTTAAGAGAATGCATGCTGTAACGCACTTTAATATTCAATAATTTTGCCAAATATACATAAGGAACACGAGTTTAACATAAAATAAAAGAATATTCGATCCGTAATTGAATTCACAAATTTTGTGGCAAAATTCTATTGACGTGCAAAACATCGCAACAAACTATAAAACGCATCGCATGAGCTTCAGATACAACAGCGCATCACCCTCGCCGAAGTGTGATATCTATTGTTTCAGAATGTGGATACATAAAAGGAATATTCAAAGACTCCCTGCTAAGCGCAGAGATGGCTCAACGCATCGATTAGGCCCTGTCCCACTGCCCACACGCCGGGGCCGCGACGACCAGCGGGCAGACGGGCGGCTGGCCGGACGGTCGGTCGGGGCGGGTGCCTGGGGGTCTGGGCCGGGGCAGCCCATGTGCCAAAGGGCGCAGAACACTCCACGCAGGCGCAACACGGCGTAGCTCGCCCCGGCCCGCCCCACCACCCAAGCGACACGTGCGCGGCCGCAGGTTCGAACCGCGGCCGCCGCAGAGCGGGCGATGCGCAGCTGCGTTGGAATGTCTCACCGGTCAAAGCTCCCTCGCGTGCCTGCCTCCCGGCGCTGCTGGCTGCTTCGCGCTCCTCCTGGCGTCGCAGGGCTCCAAGGGTGGCGCACCCGGGACGGCTGAACGCTAGAACAAGTGTCGACGGGACCCGACGGTCTCGGACCGGTGCGCCAACGTGCAACAGCAGGCGCGAACTGAGCGAGCAAACACCGAGTTGCGTTGCGAGGCGAAGCCGGTGTCGGCGGAAGCGGCGAGCGTGACTCGGCAAAGCGACGAACTGCGCCAGCGTCGTCAAAGGGGTGGGGGGAGGGAGGGTGCTGCAAACGCAGAGGACTCCTCGTCACACATAGTTCCACAACACACCTCGGCCGGTGGGAGCGCGCGACAGTGCCGACAGCAGCGCGCCGCGCGGCGGAGATTAAATCTCCTGTGAAACCGCGGGCTCATCAAACTGATTAAAGACAATTCGTAATAATGATAATAAAAATAACCAAATCCCCTCTTTTAAAAATCCCAGCAATTAAAACATATTCGTATCCAAGTTAGCTAACAAATTCTCAGAAAAATTCGCTTTATGATTAAAAGCAAACATTTTCAAAGCTTCTCTTCATTGTGTATGGTATGCGGGCGAGGGTGAGCAAGTTTTTATTTCAGATACTCTAAGATATCTTCATTTTCCTTCACTGTGCATAGCAACACAAAAACCTAAAAACATTTAGAAAATCCAGTAAAAGCATCCAATCAGGACACAAGCAAAACACAATACATTATTTCCTCAAGTTCTAACTATATCATAATAGTCTGTTTAAAGGCCCTGTGACACTGACAACAAAGCAAAACATCAACTTATTCATAATAACCATGGAGTTTTTAAGCATCGATATTTTAAATCAGGTTGAGTAATCACAAACATTAAATTTGTTTGCAAAAATTTAATTTGTTAGTGGCCATATATATTCATTTATAATAAAAATTAACTAAAATATAATTATAAAACACCTCTCAAACATGAAAAACTGGTACTTGAAAAAGAGAATTTGGCAAATTGAAAACTGAGTGTCTAATGAGTACAAGTTTCTAGTTTTAATTCTTGATCCCCAGAAACATTGTACCATGAACCATAGTGGTCATTTGCCAGTCTGAATCAAGAGGATACTGAGGTTTTGGCCTGAAATTTTCGGCAAATAAGACTTTGCCTAATGGTGGGTTAGAAGACTTCACCACCACCAGGATCTCACTTTTGAAAAGGTTGGTTGAAGTGTTTCGACATTCGACATCAGCCTTCCTGGCTTGATTATGCATTCTTACTATTTAATTAATTTTAAAGTGTTTTGATAATTAAACTGGTGGAGAGATTCATCGTTGAAATGTGGGAGCTGGCATATATCTATAAGAAAATTTCAGATAAATAATTTAAATTAACTCACACACACTATATACATACATACAAGAAAGTTAAAATGGACTATTACAAAGGAGATGGTTGTTCCCAAAAGTCCAAATTCAATTTCATTAGGAGATTTATTGGAATGTGAGATGTACATATATAATTTGTTATACATATGGAGCATGTATTCTCATCTGTAAATTGACAGATAAGATCTTACCTGGAAGGAGATCTCACACAGCGTGATATCTCTCTCTCTCTTTCTTGAAAACCAGAGTTTGAAGCACACTAATCTCTATGTCAATAAATAAAAACTGTTACAATTTTTAGGATATAAATTAACACTGAGATGAAAGATGCAGTGATTCAAAATTTCACACAATTATTTGCCTTTGTCACAATTGGTATCCAAATCTTCCATCAAGGGTACAACTTTCTTTATAATTCGAAGAGGATTCTGGAAGGCATCAAGTCATTTAGGATTCATTAATGTTATAAATTCAGTTCTTGGTTCAAATTGAAAGAACGGTAAAAAACAAAATTTAAAAAGAACAGTTCATTCGGACCTCCTCAATACTGTAAAATGTTGCTAATTAGCTCCAATTCTCTCTAATATGTTATACATGCAAACTTACATAAAATATGATTTCAAAATTCAAACAGCTTCTTGAATGGGGATGTTATAAGTGCCTCCAGCTCTTACATAATTTGTGAAGTGTGAAGGAAGATAAACACAAAAGGGAATTAATATGTTTATTTTATCATAAAGAGCTATCATTTACACAAAGAACTGATTGCAAACACATTTATACATACACAATTTATTAACTCTAAAATAAAATTCCAGAACACTTGATGCAAAGTGAATGATTTTCAAGTTTAGACATACATAAAACAACATAATAATTCTACTACATTCATGACTTGAATAACTTGCACAACACTGCTCATGGAACAACTGACTGGTTACAAAAGTAGCAATTTCACAATGTAAATATTTGAAGAAACATAGCATCTTGCTTTTGATAACATCGTTAATGTACATGAAAACTTGAGTGTTTCATTTGAAATCAATGCAATTGTCCAATTATAATGCATTACCAGCACTAATGTGGAGGTAGCTGTGACCCAACGGGGTCTGGTGGCTGGTGCTAGCGAGAGCTGCTGGAGCTGGATCGGCTGTAGCGCCTCCGACGAGCAGGACTGCGAGAGCGTGAACGAGTGCGAGGTCGGCGCCGGGGTGGTGACCTGCGACGAGGTGGTGGAGAGATTCGTCGCCGATACCTGGGAGCTGGCACATTTCTATAAGAAATTCAGAAAAACAAATTAAATTAACTCACAATCCATTCAGAAATGCAATTCAACAGACTAATTAATTAAATTCACAAATTAATAACTTATATATTACTTTCACAGCATTGTCTTCTGACAGTGCTTTGAGCAAAAGCAATCTAAGAGCAAGATGTATGAGCAGAATCAAATACAAAGAGATGTCAGATATTATCATTCTTCTTCTAAAAGTGGGTTGGATGTATGCTTCCTTATTTTTTCATAACTTCCAGTGACTGGCCACCTGAATTCTGCAATTTTTTTCAGGAACAGACCAGCTTAAAGCATGTTTCACTGCAATTTTTTCAGTAACTTAGGGCAATTAGTTTTAGCAAAATTCAATTTCATGACATTAAATAAAATTCTGGACATTTTATATATTTTGTATTATAGGATATTTCAGCTTTAGACATTGTGATATGGCCAATTTGAAATTGCGACTTAGTATGCAGAGGCCCTTTACATGATATATACCTTTTTATATTGGTAATTATTTCCCATAATATTCAACATCTCTTGTAATTACCAATATGTGAAATGTCCCCTACACATTTAATACTTGCTGTTTTGAATTATTATGTTAGTTCTATATTGCTGTTTAAATTATGTTATTTCAAAAATTTTATTTTCATTAGACATTAAACATCAAAATTTTTCATTACTGTTTTTGCTCTAATAGAGGAAAGTAGGTGTTCTCTTGAAAATGGCACAGGTCTGATTTTGCTTAAATTTCTATTTTTGAATATTGCAAAAGATTAGCTAATTTAGCTTGTCATGTACAATTTTTGGAAAATAAGAAAAGTTTTAATGTAATTTTGAAAGAAATCAAAACAATTACTAAAATTTTTGAAAATAAGATTTTCTCAATAATGGCACCAATTTTTTTTTTATAATGTACATTCTTAAGCTTATATCACGCTCAAATCCAAGCCAGGGAAAATATTTTAGCAAGTCCAATTAGTATTATAATACTTCTTAATTGTTGCATTTTACTACAATGGTCAAGTTAAGCAATCATTTTACTCATCAGATTAAGCAATCTTTTCCTCATGATTGAATGACTTCTATGCCAATAAGATTCAGCACCAGAAATTTTTAATGTTTTACTGACATATAGTTCTTCCAAATTTGTCCTTGTACATTGAACAGGCTCCTTGAGCCATCCCCAAAATATATTGCGTATGAACAATATAAGCTTTCATGAGCAGCGTCAATATTTATAAATCTGTACCTTGCTAAAAGACTGTGGTCTTGTGTCATTATTCGTTGTTTCTAACTCTTTTCATCTGCATCTGTGGCAGACATTCTAAAAGATGATTCAGCTTAAGTCATAGAGCCCTTCTGATCTTCTCCTGGCTGTCTCAACTTGTAAATGCAAGTGCACATGAAACCACTGAAGGAAGTATGAGTAATGCAACTGAACCACTGACTACCAGCCTGGTAAGCAATGAGTGAGCTGTTTTGTTCAGCACATTTGAATTTGAAAGTAATATATAGGCTACCAGCTAATCTTTGACTCCCACATATTCACCATGAGGGACAATCAACATAACAATGGCATTAGAATTATCATGTCATATGACAACAAAAATAAATTACATTTTGTTCCAGAAACTGTTGAATGCTTAAATGTTTTACACTTATCAACATGTCACAACATGATGGTATTTTGCCCTGAAGCTCGATTTACAAATTTATTTCGAAAGTGAGTTGTTTCCCAGGCAGATCTAGCACTGCACAGAGTGGTGAACAAAAGCTTGAGTGGCCAAATAAAATGTCCCTTTTTTGACGATTCTGTCCAGTATGCTTCAAAAACAAAAATGTAATAATGATGTGAGGGGCAGTTATGACTGTTTTATTGATGTTTGTAATAACACCTTTACCAAGGAAGTACATGACCTTGACTCTTCAGTACTCACATGATTCGGAGAGCTATGTCAGTGGTAGCTTAGCTACTGGTAGGGTCTCCCGCGCCAGACTGGTCAAAGGGGAGGGGTCAGAAGAAGAAGTACTCCTCAAAAGGACAGGGGCCCAAAAAGAGAACATCCGGTACAGTGCACTGAAGAGTATTTTGAAATGACAAAGGTTTAAGCAGAAATCCTAGCCTACATTTCTACCGAGGGATGATGGGGTACTGGTATGATCTCGCCAACGAAACAAGATTTCAAGAGAGATCTGGGCAGGAGTAGTACAAAAGTTCGATGAAGCCATTCCTGTAGGGAGTAAACCCTAAAAATATTCTGATCCTTCTAGTAGGGTGTTGGGACGATGGGCCAGCACATCATTGTCCTCGTAAAAACTAAGAAATGCTAAAAGGCCTAATCATGAGAAAACTGACGGTAACCGGAGACAAACAAGGCAAAGGAAATGGAAAATGAATTATTGGACAACATGGAGAAGAGGTGGAAAATTTAAATGGATAAAGACTGATTTAACTATGTGAACAGCATGAACTTATAATTTGAAACGGCAACTTCCAGCTTAAAGATTAGCATATGTTCACTTGGGAAGGTAAGGTAAGGTAAGAGAAAGGAGATCAGTAATTGATTACGTAATCACTAGACGGTATTTAACGGTTAAAGTAATAGACGTCAGAGCACATAGAGACCCAGAATGTAGATGCAACCATTACCTAGTTAAGGCCAAAATTATATTTTCACCCATAAAACAAAAAGAAACGGAGATCAGAGATGTAAGACAAAAATGAAAACAGCGAAGATAGGTCATCTAATATAGCTGGTCTTCCACAACAAAGTATAAGATATTTATTTCAAAACAGATTGGATAATTTACTGAATGAAAACTTAGTTGGATCAAATAAGGAGATATATGAACTCCTCAAAGATAGTCTACATGAAGCAGCTAATGAAACACCTTTAAATAAGAAAAGGAGAGGGAGGAGCTATTGGATTACTCAAGAACTAGAGCAGGGAATAGAGAAGAAGAGAGTGTATGAAAAAAAATGGTTGAAAACCAAGAAAGAAGAAAATAAAATGAAAATAAAGATGAAAATAACATTCAATGAAATAGAGTTAGAAACATGATAAGAAAAAAAAAAGCAACAATCATGGAAGAGAAAATCTCAAGAAGTAGAAATGTATGTAGACGGAACAAAAGCAAATGAGACTTGGATGTTCATAAAGGAGGTAAAATCTCCCCAAATGGAAAAGTCTGCATATAAAGTATATCTGTAAGCAAATGGAAAGAGTACTTTAGAAAATTATTAAATGACGGAAGATCTGATGTTCTTGGAACTACAGAAAAGGAAAAGATATCTCCGGCCAGGGAAATTACAGTAACCGAAGAGAGGGTTATCAAAGAAATGAAAGGCGGTAAGTCCCTGAGTCCAGGAGAAATCCCAAGTGAATTGAACTGGAACATCAAAAGTAGTGGGAACGATGACGAAGCTAATGAATTGGTGTATAAATAAAGGTGGTTTACCAGAAGACTGGAAAATGGCTTATAAAACACCAATATACAAGAAAGGAAGGAAAGACATGTGTGAAAATTATAGAGGGATAGCAGTGACGTAAGGATAACACATTCAGTAAGGTATATGGAAGAATATTAAGAGAATAGGAGATGGATACAAGCAGTACAAAGAAGAACAAAGAGGTTTTAGGGCGGGTCGATCTTGCTTCAATAACCTGTTTTGTCTGCTGCAGGTGATGCAAAAAGAATTGCTAACAGGGAGAGACTTCACATATTTTCCCTTGATATAGCAAAGACTCTTGATAGTGGGCCAGTAATAAAGTTATGAATAAAAGTAATGTAAATAAAATCATAATAAATGCAGTGAAGAAATTGTAAAATCAAAACAGAAAAATGAAATTTGGAAAACAGATGACCCAAACATTGATCACGATCAACAATATCAAAAGGACTATGGCAAGGATGCTGTTTGTCACCTACCCTCTCAATGTTAATGCGATGTTACAGGTATGGAAAAGAAAATGTCCTGGGATGGGAATACCACTTGATGACAATACAACACACTATACCCTACAGTTTGCTGATGATCAAGTGCTGATGACGCAAGAACAGGAAGATATTGACTATATGACTAGGAGGATGAAGAGAAGATTATGAGAAATGGGGACTAAGTCTCGACCTAGAAAAAACATACTGGACTCTAGGCAGTATACATACGTACTGACTATGGAAACTGGAGAAATAATAAGAAGAAAGGATATAAAGTACTTGGGAACAATAATAGGGAAACAGGATTTTTATATAAAGGAATATGAAACCTAACTCATTAAAGGAAGAAAAATTGTTGGAGCGCTGAATCCAGTTACCTGGGATCCAAATATAAGCAAGAAAACAACATAGTATGGAGCAGAAATATGACAACTTCCAGAACAACAGAAAAGAAAATTGAGAGCCCTGGAAATGGATTTCCTCAGAAGAGCTGCAGCAATATCTAGAATGGAAAGAATTAGAAATGAACAGGTTAAGGAAATAATGAATCTGCAACATATTATACAGGAAATTGAAAAGCAACCACTCACTTAGTTTGGACCCAGTGAAATAAGAAAACGAGACAGACCAAGAAGAACTGATCAAAAATATAATGGAGAAGTGGAAATTACCTCCTGATTCTTGGAAGAACAGTGAAGACTGAAGAAGATTAGGCAACAAAAGACTGAAGTAGCAGCAAGAAGAAGCAGGAATAACAGCAATATGACAATAATAATTTTTAAAAAGCCAGTTCAAAGAGAAATCAAAAAATACCAGCAAGTTCTTCATTCTTTATAACAACAATAATACAATATTATGGAATCTGCATATTAAGCAACTAAAATTATTAAAAATATGAATGAAATATAAATAAACAGTAAATTATTGGAAATAATTAATAAAAATAATAATATATAATTTCCTTAAAATGACAAAAAAAACAACAACAACCGATCTTCGAGTAAATGCTCAAAGTGACCATCTTTTGCCAAGAGACACACGTTCTCTCTGATCAGTGTAAGGGCTGCAGCACATTGAAGAGTAGCAAGAGCAGAATAAGTGCTTTCTCTTTCTTCCAACTAAAATGAGCCACATTCTCTTAGCCTGCAATTTGGGGGAACACGACCGGTGGTCACTAAAAGTAAAAGGCATTCGCCTCGTGATGATCAGAGAAACTCCGCAAATCCACCAATCAAAGCACCCGGACCCTAGAAATCTCCTCCAGACAGCGACTGAATTCCACCTAGCTGACAAGCTACTATCAAAAATCTTGCCCATGTTGAGATTCAAACCTAGGACCTCCAAGGTATTTCACGCATTGTCAAATTACCAAAACACGATGTGGTGTTTCCAAGTTGGTTGGTAGTTAGTAATTCCAGGTACATCAACTACAGAGGTCATTAGTTCCGTAAGTATACTGCATTTTTTTCTTCAAAAGTGGCAGTGATCTTCCTCTACTGAATGGCAAGATCCACCCCCATCTACCTTTGAAAAGCAGGGTTTCCCCTAACCAAGTATCTCCCACAAGTGGGGTACCGCCTCAGCTGGGACTAGCTCTAAGCTCCTGACCAGTCTCCTTTCATGTGCAGAAATGCAGCGTGTGTTACTGTATGTGTAAGGGGTGAGGATAGGACAAGGAAGAAGGAAAGAACATATGCGATCCATGGCCCTTTTGTGAGGGCATTGTTTTGGCATTCACCTCCTGTTGATCCGAGAAACGATGGAAAACCACTGATCAAAGCAGCCAAACTCTAGAAATCTCCTCCAGACAGCGACTGAATTCAACCTAGCTGACAAGCTACTATCAAAAATCTTCCCCATGTTGAGATTCAAACCTAGGACCTCCTGGTCAGAAGCACTACAGTGACATCAGTCAATGCACTGAGCCACCTCTCATGGTGGGCGTTTCCAGACATGGGTTTCAAGTAAAGGGGGGGAACCAGTATAAAATGGCAAGACTTTTAGATCCTTGATAAGACTATTCTCTTGCATCTGTGATAGCTTCTTAGTTTTGGCCCCTCTCTCCCTTGCTGCCATCTATTGACGCCTAAGACATTTTCACACATCTTTTCTCAATTTTTCTATGCCCTCATGGCAGAATTGAAACATGACTTAAAGAATATTTCAGCAGAATAAAAATTGAAAAAGAATAAAAATTAAATATTATGGCAGAACTAAAGAGAGAGAGAGAGAGGGAAGGTGAGAGAGAGGGAGTGGGAGAGAGAGGGAGTGGGAGAGAGAAGTTCGAAAATTTGTGAAAATGGGCAATTTTAAGGTCACAGAAAACTAAAACCACAGAGTGTTTGAAAGAAAATCATAAATTGTTCGTAAGAAATCATTTTTTGCACTTGTACTCACAATTGCAATAATTAATTTAAAAAATCTCTATAATGTAAGTATTAACTACATTAAATTATATTTCACACAAATGACATTGAACAGTTTTTGAAAAGTTAAAAGACTACATGAAAATGGCGTTTTTATGTTCTTCTGTGCATTTACTACTATCCATTCAAGAAAATTCCAAACATTTTCTTCATTTCTCTCTTCCTTTTTTTCTTTTCACTCTCTTCTTTTTCCTTTGAAATTTGTTATCTGCTCAAGATCAGACCTATTCTATTATTATTAGTCACTCTATTCTTAGAAGAAATTTAAATAAAACATTTGGAGCTATTTTTGAGAAAATTTTGTTTTTAATATTACCCAGACTTTACTCAAAATTGTGCAAAAAATACTGTTTTTTTTTAAAACAATGTACATGACATTAATTAAAAACTAGTTGTGGAGAACAAATTTCATTTAAAGAAAAAAATCTCCATCTTCAATAGTGTGTGCGCGATGAGCGTCTGAAACACTTTAAACTTTTGCAATTTTCAAAATTCATAGTTAACAACGATAATGAGATTTAAGCCATTTTTGTAGGTGTATTTCACGCTATTCTTGCACAGAATATGAAGAAAAAATTTGGAATCTTTTTTTTTTTAATTTCAAAAAGACCCTGAAGCTGTATCGTAAAGCATCCCCAAAATTTCGAAGAATTAATTTGAAAATAATAGGGCTTTGAGTAGTTGTAGATTAATTGAGGAATATTCATCCTGGAAAAAGTCCTACAAATAGTTTGGGTCCTAGTTGGTTTCCTGAAGTCAGATTGATAGGCACAAAGACAGACGGACGTGGAGGGAAGAAAAAAAAAAAAAACACCTACAGACATGTGCATGCACCCCCCGACACACACACGTGCACAATCATGTATTCTCATCTGTAAATTGACAGATGAGATCTTACCTAGGAGGAGATCTCGCCCAGCGTGGAGGAGGGCGTCGCACGGGTGGAGGAGGACTGCGGCGAGGAGGTGCAGGTCGTGGCTTTGGCAGCAAAACAGGAGCTGCTGTAATCTCCTGGCCATCTATTTGACCTAAAACATCAGGAAGTTATCCCTTATTAATATAGAAGTAATATTAGATATTTCTTTCTATCTTGTTATCAAGGGAAAAACAAAACAGATAATAAGAAGAAGAAACAGGAGGAGGAGAAGAACAAGAAAAAAACTACCAAGTGGGTACTTCTGGGATTATTTGAGAAGTCAAAACAAAATACATTCAGTACTGACAATCCCCCCCCCCCCATTTTAAGATTTCAATCTCATACATTCATTAACAAATTTTCTTTAATGTTACTATAACTGGGTAATACAATTATATTCCTATGAAGCCAACTTGTAAAACAAGTTTGCATTTTAAAGTAAATTTATTTTGTAGTTTGCTGTCTTTGTGGGATTGATTGTTTCTGGACAAATGAAGTGCAATGGTCATTAGCCCCTTTACTGCAGTGAATGTTTTATCATGGGAGGAGGCAGTGATCTTATGTATATTGTGAGATCTGGCGTCAATCTACACATCAGCTTGCAGATATTAGAGGCCGTCACAGGCTTCCCCCCCAGGAACCTCCCCAGTGGAATAACACTACAGTTTGGGCAAGCTCTTAACTCCCGAACGGTTTCCTGGCATGTTTGAGAGAAGTATGTGTAAGTTTGGGTATAGTAAAACTATCTCAAGGCAGAATCTTAAAGGACCAGAATTTGACAAGCAACTGGAACCTTCCTCCCGGATCGAGTTGCTACAGAGACTACAGTAAACTGAGCTAACTCAGCCAGTTTTGTTTGTGCGAGTTTATTGAGATTAAATTGTCAATACAAGCAAAAGGTGCTTGTATTTATTACCAGTTAACTTTATTGGGGTTGTGCTAATTTGATTGAAACTTTAAATCCACATAATATTTTTCTTTCCTTCAAAATTTTCACCAAATTTGTACCTAATTCAACGATCATTAATAATATGAACAAATTAAAATTAATTACAAAAGTAAAATTTAGCTACTTGGTAAAGAAAAGAAGCAAAGTACAAAAAAGTGTGTGTGTGTATATATATACATACCCAGTAGCACTGTATAACAGTAATTGCACATTTGAAAACCAAACATCTTCATAGTATTACAACCATGGACCAGATTCTAGTGACATCTTTGTAATTATGGGGGGTCTTCATGTTGGCAAAATGATTTGATCAAGCATCATTAATTAAAAAATGTACATCTTTGTTATTTATTATTATTATTATTATTATTATTATTATTATTATTATTATTATTATTAGTATTATTATTGTTATTATAATTATTGTTTTTTTAAGGTATGTTTCATTCACTGTTTTCCATTTCTAAATATTTAAGGTCTGTGCCACCTGCCACCCACGCATTGTGGTGATGCACATTAAGTAACACTTAACATTAATACTGTATCTTATGCGGAATGGCCAGAGAAACCATGTGCCAATTCACATAAGATACAGTATTAATCTACGTGTGCTACTTAATGCATGTCAATAATCCACTTGTATGACTGAGGTCTTAGGCAGGTATTTCAGCGAAGAATTTATGATTATATCTACCAAATGTTTTTAGAACTTGAAATAAATTCAATAAAAATAAATGCACTACGAAACCAAAGATTACTTCAACTATGCCAAAATCACTGTTATTAACATTTCAAATAGTTTATTGCGTGGGGTCTTAACTAAAAAAAATTCTCTAAAATTCCCAAGCCAAATTCATGAAACCTAAATCATGAACTTTCATTATGTAAATAACTGTCATTTTATATCATAATTTCAATACTTAATTTTGTTCCATTAAATTACATGGTTGTATTGATTGATTTATTGTAGGCAGGCATTTTTTTGGAACTTCTCACAATGAAAATAGAATAGATGTCTAGTACAAATAAAAGCCCAGAAAAAAAAGTGCTATAATAACAATAAATAATGTTAAAACTAAATGTTTAAACTGTTATTTATACACATTACTAAAAGTTTTAAATAGTTTACTGTCTCTAATGTTACATCCAAGATATTATGAAATAGTTCCTTATAACGGTTAAGATCATACTTTGGCAAGCATGGTCCTTACATCTTTAGTGTACTTGGATCTTGTAAAATATCTGAAGTCCTTTTTTTATTATAAATTGGGTAGATTTTGTTCCATGAATTTACATGTTGACTTTGCGTAGTTTTTAAAAGCAATTACATCAAATAAATGACCACAAACATTTTTCTAGTTCCTTTTTATAACTTTTAATCTGCAGTCATATTTCTACCCTACATAATACTTTCACTTAATTGAATCACTTGTAATATGGATGAACATTAAAAATATATACATTCTCACAAACTCTATATAGTATAGAGTTCGTATCTACCTGTGTTTGTACATTAGTGATTGTCCAATGGTCGAATTTTGACCTAATTCATTAAACTTTTAACTTTATAGAGGTCCTTTTGTCAAAGAATATTTCTATATGATTATTGCATGTACTTTTTTTTTTAGTTCTGTTCTATTATGTCATATACGAGCAAGTTCAAATTTGTTATTAGGGTGTGTTGTTTGCCATTATTTCCTACAATACACTGATTTGAAAATCTATGAAAACAGGCGGTCACTAGGATTCTCATCCCCTATACAGGGCTGAATACTGGTCTCATGACCTCCACCTACAAAGCGAAGTCAAATGCACTCTCCAATACCCTTTGTGTATGAGTAATGGTATGTTAAGTGAAACTAGTGGTGCTTAAAATATACTACTTCACCATTAGTAATGATTATGTAATACTATTTATACACTAATTTCTCTTTGAATTATTTCTTTTTAAACACATTTGCAATTGTAGAACATTTGGTGTGAAAAATAAGCAGTGTACAAGAAAGTAAAATATGTGTAAATAAAGTAAATAATATAATATTGCAATATTTAACAATACATAAAAGTATTATTTTTTACTACCATGAATGAAACGCAGTTCTCATTATTGCCTTCTATTATCTGTGTGGTGTTACAATGGGTTACAGAAACCAACTATGACACCTCGTCTGTTCATTTTCACATATAACACAATTAAAGGATGCTATTTAAAATGATATAACATAAAAACATAAATCATAATAAAATGAAATACGAAATAATATACAATTTCTAGCATACATAGCACCCAACTGCCTCAAAACACTTCTAAAATTATGGTCAAGCACAGTATTTTCAGAGTGGAACACTAACTGACACCCAATTATTCCAATATGACTCTTATTTTCGAAAAATTCAACATGACCTTATTTGAAAAACTGTTTTTGACGAACATATTTCATTAAGTAAAATGTACCTTCATAATTGTAATAGAAGAACGACGCAGAAAATGAATTTTTTTCAACTGTTGAAAAACCAGGGCTTTCAACCTACATGACCCCTGCACCATCTTAAATGTCCTTCAGACTTTCCAACAACAAAAACATTAAACAATTTAAAATGAAAGAACCATTTGAGAAAATGTTGGTTAAACAAACATTACAAATCCCTCTGTTTCATACAAAATTACACGAAAAATACTCAAATTTTTGAAAAACTGTGTATTACCTTATTTCAAAATTTATATTTAAGGAACAGATTCTTTTAAGAGAAAAAAATCTCTTATCTATAATACTTTAGTTGTAGGAAGATGCAAACATTTTTTTAAAAATCTTTTTAATTTTTGAAAAATTAAGAGTTTTTAACCAACAAGAGACCTGCGTCATTCTATTAACTGTAATTGTCCTCTATTGTTAACTGTAATATTAACAGAGAAATTTAAAAAATGTGTATTAGGTAAATTAACCACATTTTCCTGACATTCCACCAAATGAAACACTCTTCTGGTAATCATATTTACTGAAGATCTGCAGGTGTCGTCACTGGACGTTGACACACCTACTTCTCACTGAACAATATTTCTTAGGTATCTTTAGGTTCAGGAGAATTATTTGCAATCACCTTTTCTCAAACCACAGTATATGATTATTGTTTACAAAGATATAACGCTAGCAACATCTCACGCTATCGAAGTAATGTGCCACAGCAAACAAAATTCTTATCTTTATTATCACAGTAATGTTATTAATTTTAACATAAATTGTGAGAATTTATGGTGACCGATAAAATGCTGAACACACCACAAAATGTTATAGTGTAATTACTGCCCTGTCCATATTAAAAATCTCAGTTCATTCCACTTTACTCTGCCTCGATTTTTAACTTTTGGCCTCTGCAGTAATAACACTTAACATTTCGAGGTATGTTAATAGCTACCATTTAATATATTTGCAACTCATAAATTTCAGCTTTTTCCTCTTAACTGTATTAACTTTAACTATCCCAAATCTCATACTCCTTTGTATGCACTAAGCTTAAAATCCGTGACTAAATTTCACTTCACATGCTAATATATAGATGTGAATGTTTGTCAATTATTTTTAATAATAATTATTACCTCCTGTTAAAATCCCCAAATAGTAGTGTATGTCTATATGTGACTAAAGTAATTAAGTAATATAATATACATCCAAAATGTACTTTCTGAAAGAAAAAAAAAAGATTTTGAAAATTTAAATTAGATTTTCTTGTATTCTTCCTCAAATCCTTTTTTTATTACACTGTATTTGTAGCATGTAAAAGAAGTAAATGTCAATTTCTGTTCTTTCCTATTGAAGACTCACTTTGCAAACCAATCACTTATACTAAACTTATCGTGTTTAACACAAAAAACATCGAAAATTAATACGTAAACAATTAAGAACTTTAATTATTTAATATTCACATTACTTCAAACTATTCAATTTCCGAAAGCTACATACCTCCATCCATATGTTTCATGGCGTTTTCAGCTTCATTTGGAGTCTCAAATTCTATGTATGCAAATCCTCTCCCAATATTAGGGTGTAATCGGTCAATGGGAAATTCCACTTGCTTCACTGTACCATATGTTTGAAAGATTTCTATAATGTGTTCACGAGTCACATTCCGTGTTAGACGACCAATATGAATTTTTGTTGGTCGAGGAGTGGGAGAACGTTCCTTTCGTTTCCTTCTAGGTGATGGAGTTCTGTAATAAAAAAATCAGAAGAATCAGAAATATTCAAAATGAAGAGGACACTAAGGACTGAACATTTTAAAATCTGATGATTGATTATTGCTTTGATAAATCATCTCATTATTGGAGAACATACTCTCACAAATACACTTGTGATAAAATATTTACACTTGGAATAATGCTCTTTAATACACGTACACAAAAATCTACAAAAAAATAACAGCAAATTTTTTATTCTATGCACCTTTTCTCAAACCACAGGATTAGTACATGGAAGTTTAACACCAGACAGGAAACTTACTAAACTTCTGATACTAATACTAACACGAAGGGCGAAAAAATTGGTTTCCAAACAATGTGAATAGCAACATCTTAAAAAGTACTACACATTATGTTCAAATGTTACAGGGCAACCATGCATCAATGGGATTTGAGTAAGAGAAAAAAAAATTAATAAAATTGAGCGCCCAAAATAAAATATTGTACATCACATGGCATAAGAGTCTCTCCACAACCCCCTATATATCTAGTCATGGAAAAATCCCCTTTCCTCTTTTGTAATGAACTACAATACTATTGTTGCCAACCTGAATAGTAAGATAACTAAGGCAGTAGTACAGTGGAGATCTTGGATGGAAGGACTGCAGATTTGAGTCCTGCCTCGGGGATGTGTTTGTGTAGTCTTCGTGCTGTCCTTACATGTGGCATTACCCCTAGTTACTCAATGGAAACTAGTGGTGCTACAAAATGGCACAGATTTTTTCGTGGTAAAGTTTTCTAATTTCCTTGGGGTGGATTGGCTTTACAAACTAGCCTCATCCTTTTGGCATCTGTCCAAAGAACATTATTTAACACAATTTTCTCAGTTTTTCAGTTTTCTAATACTAGAACTAAAATATTACTTTAAAAATATTAAAGAAGAGTAAAACCTCATTATAAATGGCAATTTTTATTGAAAAATCTGGAACTATTTTTACCTAAATTATATTTATGCGTTACTGTAAATGCAAAACAGGTGTAATTAAAAAAAATATAGAGAAAAGACACGTTATGTCATTTATAACAGTGCAACTAGCACTACCCGTCGGAAAAAATTTTGAACCATTTTTACATAAATGGCATTTGAATGTTTTGGAAAATGCGGAATTTTCAGCTTATTTTCACAGAAAATTGTTCAGTTTTTGAGAAACTTCATATGAACTTAAAGCACATATACTCAAAAATACAATAGTGTCAACAAATTGGTGCTAATGTAAATAGTAAAATGAGAGACTAATCAAAAAAATTACATTTTTGCAATTTTTGAAAAGACAAAATAATAGAGAAATATGGTGTGTATGTCATCTTACAGAGTGCATTTAGCAGTATCCCTACCAAAAGTTTAAGGAAAAAATTTTGAGCCGTTTGAAAATTTTGATCTTGTTTTTGTAATAATTTTTATAAAACTGCAAATGTTGCAAGCAATATTGTGCGAAAGCTACTACAAGTTTCAAAAAACTGTACAAGACCTTTACAAAAGAACTAACTACGGACAACAAATTTTATTTAAAGGAAATATCTCTATGTTCAATTTTGTATTTGTAGAAGACAACAAAAAAATTCAAAACTTTGCATTTTCCAAAATTCAGAGGTAACTATGAAAATAATATGCCATCTATAAGTATATTTAACTCCATTTTTTAACCCATTTTAGAAAAAATGTTTAAAATGTCAATGACGCTTCATTTAATCAACCCTCCAAGTTTTGAAGTGTTTATCAAAATCACAGCATCTTCAGTGGAGCCAGATCAATTGGGGATTTTGGAAAAAATCCATGATGTAAGCGCCAGTGGTGATCACAGATGGGCATTTAGAAAAAAAACAAACAGTTTTCATTTTCAGTATAAGGGTAGCAAAACATGAATTTTCATTGAAATCTCAAAATCTATTTCCTGTAGCATTACATAAATTTGTCACACACACACCCAACAACAACAACAACAACAACAACAATTGTTCTTCACATCTTTTTTAGGTTGCACTATACTACTAACTGATACAACTTCTCTTCAATATTTCATTGAACAATAAGAGTAAAGTGCCAGATGAATATACTGTGCATAAAAATTATGAAAAACAGTGTTCTAATGGTTTAATATATATTTATATTACAGGGCATAATTTAGTTTATATTTTTGAAGTTTTTATTGCAAAAATGCATACATATTTTACAAATATGTAGTGCATATACATCTGGCCACTATTTTTTCGTGACTATTTATGTACAGCCATTTTAGTGCAAATGAAACATGTTAAAATTTAGACCACTATTTGTGATTTTCTGCAAAACCTGACTACCCATAGTTGCTGTGCAACCCAAACCCAGAGTTCTTCGGGAGTTTACTCTAGACTAAAATCAGTTCCAAATGAACAAACTGAAGCCAAACAAGACAGAATAATCATTAACTTAGAAATGTAGTTTCTTTTTCACTTAGTTCATAGCCTTTAGTTTTAAAATAGCTCTTCAAATGTTTAGAGAAAAAAATTACACTAGTTTTTAATATTGTCAGTTTCTCAACATATTATCAAAATTCATACCCATGTGGGTTCTAACATCAAATCCAGAATGGTGTTTTTAATATGGTGGGGTCTTGCACTACATGCGAAACTTAAACAAAACTGAAAACAAAATGAACAAGAGGCCGCTACAACCACAAAAATTTGGAAGGGAAAAAAGAAAAAGACACATACACACCACCACTTCCCTTTAAAACAAAATCAACAGTCTCCAAAATGTCATAACACAAGTGAATAAAATTATTATGTGAAGAAATTTTTGGCACTTTTCATTGTGGCTGTCCATAATTTAAAATAAGGGATTAAACATCAAGTAAATAATATCCACAAGTTTACACTAAAAAAAAAAAGGTTTTTGAGGGTTAACAACACTGAAGACCACAATGGTTTTCTCCAATACAAGGTTTTCATTGGCAAGAATCAGGTTACATCAATAAACACAAATTCTCATAGTGTAATATTTGTATCTCAAGCATCCATGGGACAATCTTGTTAACATAAAGGTAAATGAAATAAGTGTTTCAAAAAAATATATGTAAAAAATGCATGCAAAATGATTCTGATTCTGTATCAGATAAATGTATGGATTTCTTAGAAGCTTCGATAGTACACATTAGGACAACTTGCCTCTAAATTACAGAAATTGATTCACAGAAACATGCAAGCACACTGCAAGTACAAATGGAAAGTATTCAAAATCAACAATCATAATATTTAAGTTTTATAATATTAAAATCAATTAAAAATAATTATAATAATAATTTGTGGACTTTCAGTCTAGTGTAAATATTAAAGGATTAAAAAATAACTGAAAGCATCAACTAAAGAAAAATAATACTCATGACTCATCTTAATTTAGGAAAATTTTGTATTATTATGCTTTAATTCAAATGAAAAAGAGACTCACCTAGATCTTGGTTTTGGCTTAGGTTTTTCAGGTTTTTTCTTTTTCTCTTCTTTCTCTTTTACTTTCTTTTGTTCTGCACTACGACTTCGACTGCGGGATTCAGTACCTGGTCTAAACAGAGGTAGTATCTCTGTTACTTAAAATCATCAGAAACTACAGAATTCAAGATTCCAAAATGAATATGATTTGAGTAACTAGCCAGATTCAACATTAATTTGATGATCTCTGAATTAAGGAGTTTACATAAATATAAAGAGATACTCTGGTGTAGTATTTGTTAATAGAAATGTTGCAAGTACAAACAACTCATTTTTTCCCAATTATTTTAGTGCTAATGTAGAAATTAGAGAAAGGAGTTGAAATATGTTAAACATAGAATTAATACAGTTTTTTTTCATAATTCAGACTCAAAAGTAACACACAAGTAGTGCCACGCAAAAAATACTGAATGTTTCTTGAATTTTCTCCACCAACAAACACTGTTTATGGAACGCTTGAATATTGAATAACTTGTTAGCATCACAAAAATAAATTTCAAATTCACAAACTCCACTTGAGTATTAAAAATGTTAATTCTTTGCTTTTATTATCATATTCAAGAAATATTGAATTTCTTCTCTCTGAATTGCAACAAGGCATAATAAACAAGTATTATGATGGAGTAATATTTTTTACAGAAACAAGGGTTTGAATGTGAATCAAAATGCTCCACAATTGCACAAATTACACAGGATATTCTAGTTAATTCTAATCTCCGGTAAGGGCTTTGTTTGTCAAAATCTTGAAAACAAACCCAATTTGTCTTAGCTTTTTGGAGATAAGAGTACATGTTAGACAAGTCAATAATCACACATTCCATATTTAGGACTCAATAATATGGGAAGGCAAATATTTTCAGCTATCCTACATACGCTACACCAAAGCTCATGAATAATAGGATATATCTGCTACAACTTTTAATTATTGATTAGGTATTCAACTATAATAACTAAATTTTAAATAAGATTGTGTGACAACATTTATAAAATCAAAGGAATACTGTACCACTTCTACAAAAACATTTCCTTAGTCACATATTTTTAACACAGATGTAAATTTTAAGGGTCAAGAGGGAAATAATATATCAATGACACGTAACACACATACTTTCTTTTGGGCCTAGCCCTTGCTGCTGAGCTGGAACTACTACTTCCTGAACTGGTTGTTGAAGAACTAGAGCTATGAGAACCGCTTGACCCACTAGATCCGCTGGATCCACTAGAACCACTAGATCCACTTGAAGATCGTGAACTGCTATCTGAAGAACTAGAAAGAAAATGCATACACATAAATAATATTTATACACATATAGATTACAAACGACAGTGTCTGTATTGATTGAATTTTCATAAATTTATTTTGTAAATACCTTCTACTACTGCTACCACTTCCACTCGAAGAGGATACACTCCTTTTTTTCTTATCCCTTCCTCTTTCTTTCTTATTTTCTTTATCCGACGCGTCGGATTCTGAATCACTTTTAGCGTTACTATCTCGCCGGTTTCTGGCCCTTAAGGACATAATGTTAAAATTTAAGAAAGCCCTGAGAGTTTCTGAACATCAATTCCTAGCGTTCGAATTAAATGTTAATACAATTATACGTTCTCATATTACATTATTATCAGCAATAACAGTCTTACTTACATCTTTCTTTTAACCTCGTCTTCGACAGGCATCAGACCGGAAGCTCTTAAAGATACTCAAGCGCGAATATTTCCAGTGCTTACACTTTGAGCGTCTGTGAAATTACTGACTGTTAAATATTATAAAACCACAAACTCGTAAAACTGGAAGCTAATATTTTTGATGAGTTAATAATATCCAAAAACGATTTATAGTAGCATTAAAATATTCTCATTCGAGACAAAAAAAATGGCGGCAAATTCAAGCCGTCGTCTCGTTATTCAATGGACTCTCAAAGTGGCAGATATTCACCTAACTTTGAGATATCACAATTTTATAAAATTGAGAAGTCAGATTTGTTTCTTAAATTTGTAATTTTTTGTGTGTTTCATATCTACATAAAAAATTATCTACATATTTTTCACATGGCAAAGACCAATGTGTCTTTCACAATTTAGACACCTTATTATGTAATAATTATTCATTAAAGAGTTGAGTGCAATTCTTATTTTGTTATTTATTTAATATATATTTAACAAACCCATCCAAAAATAGGGCATGAAACTGTTCAGTTTATTTTCTTCATTAAATACCACTTTTAAGTGCATAAAACCATTACTGAAATAGTTTGCTAACCCTAATATCTGGCACAAATAATTTATAAATTCAACAAATGAAATATTACTGTAGTTCTTATCTTTTTCAACCAGCATTGACTTAAACATTTATTGTCAGACCACTATATCCAATGTTTACAAATAACAATATAGTATTTTGAATTTATAGCTCTTAACCCTTTAATGCAGGGCTTACATTGGTGGGTGAAGCCAAAAGTGTGTGTGTACCAGCTCAGTAGCAGGTATCCAGCTTAGTGTGCCACTACAAGATATCTCATCTTCACACAAGAGAAAACCAGACATGACAAAGGAAAGTCTCTGACCTCTAAGTATGACTCCCTGCATACAAAGATATGATCCAAAGATGGCATCCTGTGTTGAAGGGTTAATTTTAATAATTTCTTTGTATTGAGAAGTTTCAACAAATTACTCTTGATTTGATAAAAAAGAGTATTATTGTATTTATAAGGGTAAGAATATACTATCAGCTATAGTGAATGACACAAAGAAGTCGGTCCAACACTTTCAAATATTTTTGTGACCATGAAAGCGAAATTCAACATCATCATCATCATCATCATCATCCATATTCATCATATAATAATCAATAATAATCAATAATATATAATTAAGTAACAATATAATATAATAATAATAATAATAATAATATATAATAATAATAATAATAATAATAATAATAATTAATAATAATAATAATAATAATAATAATAATAATAATAATAATAATAATAATAATAATAATAATAATAATAGATAATAATAATTAATGTAATAATACTAATAATAATACTAATAATAATAAATAATAATAATAATAATAATAATTAATAATAATAATAATAATAATAACAATAATAATAATATAATCAATCAATATTCAATAGAATTAATTAATAATAATAATAATAATATAATAATAATAATAACTAATAATATATTCTCTTTAGTCACTATACAATTACGTGTATGATGAGTCAATATGATTGCCTTGGGTGGAGAGAGTGAAGTTATATTACTGTTAGAGCAAACAAGGGCTATCTCAGCATTTGCTCAAAGGACCAGGGAAACTGAACCAAACTGATCGAGATGGCGTCATTGCTAGAAATACAATATTGGTTAAAGTTAGATTAAGATATTATACAGTAGATAATTATCTGCTAATAATTCATTTTAATAGATTTTAATGCTACTGCTTATAATAATTATTATTAATTAATAATCTATCTTACTAATAATTATATTTAACTATTTATATTAATAATAATTTATATCAATATATTACATTTAATAATACTTATCAATTATGTTTGCAACTACATCAAATTTAACAATAGTAGTAATTTAGATTTTATAACTTAAATGTGAGGAGGCAAGTTTTTGACCAAGTTTTTTTTTTCTATTCTCTTTATTTCACAGGATGTGGATATGCAGTTCTTTTTTTCTTTGCTTCAGCTTGAAACGTTACACCGAAACGAAGGTCTAATGGGATATTTATAATTTTTTTAGGGAAATGTTGATAATTTGAAATCTCTTGCACTTAGAACTGGTTGTTAACGCGGAAGCTTTCAATTTACTTTTAAATGTATGAATTGTTGGTTATGTCTTTGATTATCATTGCCTAGTTTGTTGTAAACGTGTAATGGCCGTCTATTAGGGTACTTTTTTTGATAAAATGTAATTTCAGAGTGGGGAACGTGTAAAGTAAAAGCGTCCTTTGTTTTCCATGAGATTTTCTTTGTGAAGACCACTATTTCAAAATAGTACATGCATGGATAGAGGAAGATCCTTAGTATTATTAAACAGGGTTTGCAAGACTCACCGCTTATGAGTGCTGGTCATTGTTGCCAGTATTCTTTTTGGATATAAATGTGCGAGTGCTTCAGGGCATTTCCCCAGAATATTATGTCCATATTTAGGTGTGAGTGCGCACATTTGCAAAATACATTGTTCGAAGTGTTCTCAATGTTGGAGTTGACTGAGGGTTGTATAGGGCATAGCAAGATTTGCTGAGCGCTTCTTGTTAAAGATTTGAGATGTCGAGTGTTCCATTTTAGGTTTTCTTGAATGTTAGTCCGAGGAAGTAGTTTCAGAATATCGTTACAGGGTATTGGTTTATGAGCATGCTGTGAGAGTTTTTCTGGTAATCATTCATGAAATTGAAATTCCATGAATTATGAAATTTAGAGAGACTGTCTTGCCCGGTTTATCTATGAGTTGTTGTCCTTGAAAACATTTTACTAGTGTTGAAAAGTTTTGTGAGGTTTCTTTTCCTAATATTGTTGTTTTTGCTTTTGATTGATGTTGTGTTATCTGCAAACTAAATTATTTTGTTGTTCTAAAAAGGTCCAAAGGCAATGTCATTTATGAATATAAGAAATAGTATGTGGCCCAAGGTAATGGAATCCTTGCGGGACCTCACAGATATATATTTTGAGACAGGAGTAGTATGGGAGATTATTGTTTTCTTTAGTGTGTTGGATGGGCAACTATCTGTCTATGGTTTGATAAATATGAGTGTTGCATCCATTGGCTGCCAATGCCTGCGAATTCCTAGATTTCTTAGTTTTTAAAATGTCCTATGATGTCAATGATTCAAGGCTTTTGACTAATCTAAGGCCAATGGAATTTCCTTCTGATTGTAGTGAGACAAGTTGTCCATTTAAAAAGGAAGAAGATGGCTTGTGTATTGATCTAAGCCATGTGTGCATTTTGTAAGGACATTATTTGCATTGAAGAAACTGTTTGAGTCTATCATTGAAAGTCTTTCCAAATTTTTGAAAATTCTGGATTAACAGGATAATTCTGATAATAGGCCTGTAGTTCATTGCGCATTACGACTATGCCTTTTAAACAATGTTTATTTTTGTCTGGTTATTGAATATAATAGGAAACGTGTTTATAAGAAAATCTGGAATGTTGTCCATGCTGCTGAGAATTTATTCCTCATTTGTCCCCATATTTTAAAATTTCAGAGGGTGTGCGTGTTCATATTAAAAATTTGGAATTACAATTTGTTGTAATATTAGTGTTTGTTTTGGTGTGTTTTATGTTTTAGAGAGTGTTGAGAGATTCAATTTATTACTAATTGTGAAAGTATCATTGAATATATCAGATATTTTCTTGTGGGTCTTGTACAGTTTTGTTTTTGTAGTGGCTCTATGTTTCTTTTGTTATTATTAGTTGTCGTGTAGTCTATTTTAATATAATGTCCATGTGGCTTTGTTTTATATGTGAATTGCAATGTAATTATCATTTGTTATATTTTTGCATGGTTGATATTTTTTTAGGAGTGATTATATGTTTGTAAATGAAATGAAGTTTGAATTACATTTGTTTTTTTTAGTATTTTATTACATGTTGCGTTTTTCTTCACTGACACTTTGATCCTGTGAATCGAATGATTTAGTATTTCTTATTTTGGATCTTTTCAGTTGTTGAGGGAAAATGGCATTGAAATTCTTAAGTATATATTTTGCAAGAGTTAAACCGTTATATTATGTCGGTTGCTTTTATTCTTCATTCCAATTTCAATCTGAGCAAGTTTTGAATTTTTTATGTGGTGGGAAGAAAGTGAGGAGGTAGTTGGAAAAAGTTGGAGTGGGAGGAGCGCGAATGCGGTGTAGGAGTAGGAACTGGCGTGGTAAAGAGAGGACTGGGGGCAGGTTTGGAGGGATGTGGAGTGGGCAGGAAAGGTGTGGGAGTAGGAGAAGGATGGTGGGGGTAAGAGAGGACTGGATGTGGGTTGAAAGATGCGGAGTGTGTAGAGGGTTGTGGTGGAGAGGGCAGAAGATGGATGGGTGGGAGATGGATGTGAGGTAAGCAGGGGCAGGGTTATAGGTGGAGATGACATGGTCTTAATTTTTGTTTTCCTATTAGGTTGGGTGGGAGGAACATGCAGAGTAAAATGATTTCTTTGAGAGGTTGTCAAGATACAGTGTGATAGGTGTCGCATCTCAAGTGCTGTTTATATGATGGTTTGCAATCTTAATTTAATTGTTTTATAAGAATGTTGTCGTGCGGGGGGCGAGTGGTCATGATTAACTTTTTGTGTGTTTGGCAGTCTCTGGTATTTTTGTTAATGTTCAGTGCGTGAACGTGACTGCCAGAATTAATGTCATTCTGCCACCTATAATTATTTACTCGTGTCTGTTGTGTAAAGGATTAGTCTGAGTGTTTAAGTTCTCAATTTACATGAGCCATCGTGGCATGAGGTTTTAAAAATACCTGTAATTTGAGAACTTGACAGGAGTTTCTCTTCAAATGGAGGCAAGGTTCCTAATGTCTGTCAGCTTAGAATCAAAATTTTACATGTGTGAGAGAGGTGCCATTTGTTTTTTAGTCTTGCTGCTGAACTGTGTTTCTGTTGAGATTTTGAGGGCAGACTTTTAGTAAACGTGCGCCTATTGTTTACTGGTGGTAAGGTAGGTTTGGTGGTAAGACGTGGAAAGGAGACAAGGTCAGAAAGGTTCAAGAACTTGTTGAATGTGGGGGCGCAGTATGGTGCCTAAGAGGTTCGTGGGTGGCTGGAAATGTGTGGCTTTACTATTTTTCCTGGTTACGCGAGTCCACCCATCAGAGTATTGAACGACCTGCTCCAGTCTACTGATCTCATTTTTAATGTAATTAATCATAGTAATCTATTTTGTATCAAATCAGCTATCACTCTGTTTGAAGAGCTTCAAAAGCATATCCAACATTTGGCATTCTGTTTTATCCCTTTCCTGTTGCTTTTTTTAGTGTTACAAAACCAGTGAAACATTCAAAACATCTGATCTTCCAGAAATATATATAAACGTGTGGCAAATGCATAAGCAGACTAATCACACACTAGCTCTGTTGGATAAAAGGCCCTTTCCATTCCCTGATATTTTTAAACAAAATTTACATTAATATTGAAATATTTAATTTATGATTATGTTTGTAGGTTATTTTCATCTATTTTGGTCATAATGTTACGCACTTTCATATTAGGAGGATCCGTTGTTTGGTCATGATTAGGAACCGTCACAATCCTAATGATGCATCAAGCGTCAATCCTAATGATGCAGGTGCGTCAAGCTGGAACAGCCATGTCAGTACACCGGAATTAAACTTGTCAAATGATTTATTGCTATTTAATTGTTCATTAATTGCCACGTATTTTGGGGCAAACGGCAACGCCAGCAATGCTTACGTCATAAGCGCACGTTATACTTTGGTTTTTATAATGTGGCACGCCAAGATCATATTCACGGTGGCGTTATGTCCCTGCTTTTCGTGTCTTTTTCGGTCGTGTCCCTATACTTTGGTTTTTATAATATTGCGCGTCAGAGGCTGTCTTCACAATGGAATATCTCACAGCACTTCACGTCTTCCTCGGTCGTGCTGCTAGACACGGTCGCGATCACGAGACATCTAGCGATACGACCATAAATTAACACTACAGATATTCCTTCATGATTCGACCGAGAAAGACTCGAAAGGCCGTGAGATATTCCATCGCGAAAACTGGCTCTGATGCCTCGTGATAAAAAACGAAGTGTAGATGTCGCATGATGGCGACAAGCAGTGTAGTATATTACGTTGCGATCATGCGACATCTTGCGCCACGACATCAAGCGACTTCATTGCTAAGAAACATTTCCCCCCCTGAAATTGAAAATAAGTTTCTAAACATTCTCACATCCACCAGAGGGTGCAGAATGTATTTCATATGTACTTGATTTTCGTGAGAAACAAAAAAGTTCCTAAATGAATCGTTTGTGATGAGTTTCAGATAAAGCTAACAACTTATGATTTTTAAACGTTAGGTTCAATCATTTTGAAACCTATTTTAAGTGCATGAAACCATCAGTTATAATACTGCCTAATCTCTTAATTTTGTCATCTATTTTAGGTGCATAAATCACGTTAAAGTGCCTAAAATTTCGAGGTCTAGTGATGAGATTAATTATAATTTGGAAATTAAGGCAAACTGTGAATAAAATACTAGGATGGATTTTAATGTACTACAAAATCTAAAAAAATGATTTTACGACCTAAACATGCACTTTTATATGCTATTAAAATTACCCATTTAATTTCCTCGTTAAATCTTTTATCTATAGAAACAAAAACACAAACTAAGAATCTTTTTCAAATCAATGATTGCTCACAAATTAATATTTTATAAGCAAGTCCCTATTTAAACAAAATGTGTACCTATAATTACGCAACTTGCACCAAGGAAAATCTGCCAAATATGCACCAACATTAATTTACATCCAACAATGTCATGAAATTTTACTTAGCTAGGCACTGGAACAATAGATAAAAATGCAAAACCTAGAAGTCACTCCCCAAAAAATGACAAAGTTAGGGGATGGGGCAGAACTGCTAGTTCACCTTGAAATACTTTGGTGTTTGTCATTTTTGAAACGCCAACATTGTCACTTCATTATAACCAAGAACATTTGTAACTTCATCAAATGTGCCTATAAGTACTTATAAACCTATAGAACATTTGACAAGAAATGCATTTTTTTTAAGCATTCATGACTAAACCCTTAATAAACTTCCATTCATTGTTACATCATTTTTATTATAATAGTCTGTACAACAAATCTAGTTTAATGTAATAAAGGAATCGGGAGTAAAGGATAATAAGCAAAGTAACAAGGTCCAATGAAACAAAAGTATCCTTATCCTCAGACCAACATGTTATTTTATATGAAACAATATACATAAGAAAGAATTACTTTTTATATAATTCCAATCTTGTTGGCAATATCTAATGCATCATAATCTCTGGCCAGGCGAACGTAAGCTTTCTTCTTTCCATCCGGCCTGAAAATCATTACAATAAAATTAACATTTTATAAACTCATATTAGGAATGATATTTGAAGAGTCACTTTACATTCTGGTAGTTACGTCAATTGCAGATGTAGGAATTAGATAAATCAAATGGTGTAACATTAAAAGAAATAATGAGTGTTCATGACAGAATGAGCAAATTTGAAATGATTATTGAATTGAAATTTGAATTAAATTAAGAAAGAAAATTTTAACACCATGTAAAATTAAGGCTGAAGTCTAGTACATGGTACAACTTAAGCAAGTCGTATCAAGAAGCACTATGTTCTGCTTTAGAGGGGGAAATCCAAGGTGGTGGGGACCAGGGGTTCGTAATTGGTCACCAATGTGACGTCATAAGTTAGAGAAAGCAATTTCCAGCTAATATTTTTTCGGAGCTCCACGACGAAATAGTGCTGCAATTGTTGTCGTGCGATAAGCAAAGCTTGTAGCGTTCTTTCTACACAACGTGTTTGCAACTGCAGTTTGAATTCTGGAGGCTTTCATGAAAAAGTGTTTTCTCACAAATGTGAATTGGTAATTATGCAGTAAATACACTCCAGCGAGGGCTGAAGGCCTGAGCTCAAACACGTCAGACGCGAGGGCCGAAGGCCTGAGCCTCGTTGTGACATGGATCCAGGCAAGCAAAGTAAGAAAACTTGCCTTTGAAAGTAATTTTGAATCATGTTCCAGTGGGCACGAATCATGAGGCGAGCCATGGAAATCGCTTATCCATAAGTTTTATTTATTTCTATACGAGCGTGTAACGTAATTTGCGGGAGGGCTTAGAGGCCCCCTTTCTCCCCCCTCCCCCGCTACTTCTCTAAGCTCTTCTTCTAAATGTATTGAACTTGTTATCTTCCACATCAAATTTACAATAATTCTAATGCATCTCTATGCTACTACAATGTTTAAAATAAAGCAAAATTAACACAAACCTAATCAAAGTGTTCACTTTCGCCACTTCAATATCAACATACAGCTTCTTCACAGCTGCTCGGATATGATGCTTATTTGCTTGTGTATGAACAATAAAAACAAGGGTGTTTGTGTCTTCTATTTTTTTCATAGCCGCTTCAGTAGTCAAAGGATACTTAATGATATTGTGAGCATCCATTCTGAAAAAGGAATGATGTTTAGGTAGAAAACAACCATGTTCACTTAATTTGAAAAACAAATATTCAGAAATTAAAACCATTTTCTGATTTTATTTGAAGAGATACCTTCTGGATTATAATTAATTTTAAGCATTGTTTGCAAAAGTACTTTTTCTAACCCCTTACCTATTTCTTTTGGGAACTGATTTCCTAGGATACTTTGGATTCCTAGGAGGGCAGAAAGTTTTTGGTCGCCGAAAATGAACCGAAGTTCTAACTTTCCTTGTACGGGTGCCATGAATACCTTTAATTATCTGAAAAAAAAAAAAGGACTCTTGTTTAAATTTTACCCTTAACGGAGAGATTATCTGAAAAATCACTGCGATCTCAGATTAATACAATTATCAATCAACAACTTCAGAGAGATTCCTTCAAAACATTCATCATTTGTAAGCACATATACCTCAAAATATCACTAATCAATGAACCATGAAATTAAGTTTACCTTCTGTTGAATTTTGCGAGCTTGTTGCTCAGGGCGAACAATTTTGGCACCTTTCTGGCTTTTTGGTGCAACACCACGAAGAGGCTTTTCAATTTTCTTTGCACCCTTCTGAACAGTTTTGACTACTGGTTTACCACCAGGTTTAGCTCCAGGCTTGACACCAGCCTTAGCTCCAGCCTTTACTGCCGGTTTGGCTCCAGGCTTAATGGGCTTAGCACCAGGTTTAGCAGCGACCTTAGCCCCAGGCTTGGCGCCAGGTTTGGCTGAGGCCTTTGCTCCTGGTTTTGCTGCTCCCTTAGCAGCACCAGCAGCAGGCTTCCCTGCGGGTGCTTTAGCGGAGCCAGGTTTCTGTTGGGCTCCTTGTTTAGGAGCAGCTCCCTTGGCAGATGCAGGTTTAGCTGCACCAGCTGCTGCTGCCTTTGGTGCTGCAGCAGCTCCCTTCCCAACAGAAGTTTTAGATCCACTAGCAGCAGGAGCCTTAGGGGCGGGTTTGCTCGCTCCTGCAGTTGCAGGCTTTGCAGGCCCTGCAGATGCAGGCTTAGCTGCTGCAGGCTTCTCCTTCTTAGATGTTGACGCAGTAGAAGTACTGGATGCTGATGCAGCAGGAGCAGGTTTCTTCTCAACTTTCTTTTCTGGTTTAGCTGAAAAATGTTAGCACGTAAAAGACTATTAAATGCCATCAAGCAGCATTTACTAAGAAATTAAGAAGTAAAGAAATGAGAAATTTGCATGAAAAATGAACATCCACAACTAAAGATTTATTCCTAACTGACTATGCAGTACATGAATTTCACTTGAAAGTCACATATTCCGCGCCTTTTTTTATTTCCGAACATTTGTTTACCTCATTTAAACACCTACTACAAATATAACAAAACTATAAAATTTGACCGTCATAAAAATACAAAAAGTACGTTCAATGGCAATACGATCTCCTGTATTAAAACACAAATTAACAAATTTAAAAGAAGCTAAATCGAAACCTTATTTGATAATCTGCATTACCCTGCGTAAAAGTGACCTGCAATCCTATAACCTAATTTACAGGTTATTGCTCATTTAAAACAAGGATCACATTATAATACGTAGCAGATCTATCTCAAGCGGATCAGAAACTTTTATTCACTAAATTATTAGGCATACATATTTATTGTTCATTTTTTAACAAGTTACAAACAAGTCATTATACATCCACATGGCACAATCCCATGTGGGCATGCAAAGCATTTACAGCGCACCATCTAAATACACATTTCTTTACATAAAAACAATAAAATTAATTTCCTCCTCTTAAATTAAATTTGTTCCAATATTGAGAATATGTACCACTTGACCCGTTGGTCTATATAATATCACATAAATACTTTACCCGCTTTATCCGTGGGCTTCGGCTTCGGAGCCATTTTGACGGAAACAAGAAATATGGCCGAAAGGAACTGCAAGCCCTCTGCGACAACCCAATGCAAACTTATCATTGTGATATTTGGAATGTCATCATACTTTCAAAATTATTTGATATAAATTGTTATAAAAATAAATTTTAATTTATAGGTACATTATCTGTTTTATTATATAAGAATTAATATTAATTAATTTTCTTTCGAAAATAATTTATCGATTTATGATATTTGGCAATTTTCGATTCGATCAATCGATCTCTCGACATTCGTTAGTTGTTTGTTTGGTGCTGCGAAGGCAGACGATTCAATTTTCCAATAGTACTGGGATTATGAAATGTAATTAAAATTGGGGTGTATAGTTTGAATTAGCGGAGAAACAGCTCGCTATCAGACCGCCTAACTGATCAGTATTTTTTTGTGAATTATTTTTCCCTTTGTAGTTTTGTTCACGCGATACATTAATTTGACTTAACGATACCTCTTTTATTAGACGCCTCTTTTTTTAACTGAAAGAATAATGTTGCAGTCTCGATCTTCCACGTTCAAAATGATGCAAAATGAAGTCAAGGCAGATCGCCAAATAACATCGTTTCCGAAACCGTATCGTTCTGATGCTACACCGTATTCAGGAATAGATTTCGATCCTTACGTCAAAGAAACTTGTTGCTCGAGTACTTCATTAGTGGCAGGGTTAACAATTGCAAAGGTTATTATTTTAGGTGATGTCGCTGTTGGAAAAACCAGCTTAGTCAACAGGTTAGTAGTAGGACGGGAAAATAGGTATCATTTATGGAGTTCTGAGTCCAAATGTTGATAATGAGAGTTTTTTAGTTAAGTAGCAGATTATTCATTCCAGATTTATTTGTTGTTACAGGTTTTGTCATGAAATTTTTGATAGCAACTACAAAGCAACCATTGGAGTTGATTTTGAAGTGGAACAATTCAATATTCTAAAAGTTCCATTTAATTTACAAATGTAAATTTACAGGATCACCATTATTTTCACATGAATTGGATTAAGTGATCAATAATTTTACTAATCAAATATTTTCTTATTAGCTGGGATACTGCTGGACAAGAGAGATTCAAATCAATTGCATCCTCTTATTACAGACGAGCTCATGGTATTTGTAGTATATTATTCCTTACATTATTAATAAATATGTTACTGCCAGGGCTAGGAAATATGTGGAATACACTGATGGAAACAAATTTTTTTTAGATGCTATATTTGCCAGGAACTTGTAGTTTTGAATCCTTTCTATAACCAAGAATGATATTTTTGTAGGCATAAAGTACAAATATCTAGGAGTATTTTGATTTTTGAAAATCGAAAAACAGAAGGTGATGTATTTTCACAACAAAATTTATGCCCTCTATGATATTGCAGTGACATTGAAAATTTTCTGCTGAGCAATTTATCTGTTGCTTGATATCAGTAAATAGTGTTAAAAAAATATTAGACAAAACTTTATGAGTAGTCTTAGCTCCAAATTTTTTATTGCAAAAATACTGTAAAATGTATTAAAATTGTTAAAAAATTTAATTATTTTTAGATAAGTCATCTTTCAAAACAAAAAAAATTTGTTGTTTTTATATTGTGCTGAATCCGAAAAAATATTATTTGCATGATTTCTGAACATTTCATATTTTGCTGACTGTTTTGACAAAAAATGTCCTGTGTATCTAAATACATTGTATGTCTTAACTGAACATGTAATAAGAAGATAAAAATAGCAAGAATGTATTAATTAAACATTCAAATTACATAAAGTGGCAAGACTATTTTGTGCTAAATTTCTTAATCTTTTTGTAAAAATTGCAATTTTTTAAAGCAGTGAACTACTAACACATTTAAATTTTCAGATGTGAAACTGCACCTTTGGTCTCATAAAATTGGTTTGTTCTTGCTAAAACTCTGCTCAATATCAGAAGTTGTGGGGACCACCTTGATCCTTGCAATATCTTATGGAGTTAAATCTAAATCTGAAATCTTCTAAATCATTTAGTTGTTCGAATAAAAGTTAAAAATGATCTTCAGTTTGAAAAAATTACTATAAAACATATTCCAAATAAAATGTTGAAATATGCAAAGATATGTGAGTTATCATTAAATAGAGAAAAATATGTACTGTGTCTGGTTTAAGGACAAATATGGATAATCAATAAATTGTTCAGGTCACTTCAAAATGCCTAATTTATTAACATTTCATTTGAGAAACATTTGTTTCTCACTGATGAACAAGAAAATACGTATTTACATACAAATTCTAGCCCTGGTTACTTGATAAATATTTTAACCATATGGTTACATAGTTGTTAGTTTGCCATTACCTACTATTATTACATTATGTAACAAAATATTATTTGACTTTATTAACATTTTTAACACTATTTCTACCACAAAAATATGAAGGTTAGTAATAGTATAAAAGTCAAAGAAAAATAGAAAAAGAAAAAAAAAAGAAAGAGAGAGAAAGAAAGAAGAGATTTAACATGCATAAATTTGCAGCACAATTTATGATATTTCTGGGTTCTGGTATTAAAAATTGCTTGATAACAACATGTAAGAACTTGCCCCAATTTTGGAAAAGTTTCCATCTCTAAGAGTAAGTAAAAAGGTTATTTAAATAAATGTTACTTATGGTTTTAGAAAAATCTTAATTGCAAAAGTACACTTATTGCTGTTATTGTCCTTTATATTTTCATACTAGAACTTTTGATAATATCAACAAAATTGGAGACAGTAAATTAAAATTTTGTTATGTAGATTTATTGTCATTATCATTTATTATTATTATTATTATTATTATTATTATTATTATTATTATTATTATTATTGTGCATCATTATCACATCATCATCATCATCATGCAATAAAATTCATTCATATCAATTACAATAGCTTGTTGTACTCCACTGTTCTCTCTTTCAAGGGCAAACTCTTCTTCAGGTTTGTTGGTGATATGATTTTGGTAGGTATATACATTGCTTGGTCCATGTTTTGTTAATGATAGTCTTATGCAGTTTTAATTTTTTGTTTATACGGTTTTTCAGTGAAAAAATGTAAAAGGGGTTTGAGGATATGTGAATAATCCAAACAAATTCTAATAAAACTGGCTAACAATTTTTGCTTTCTCATATGCATATGTATGTGTTTTCGGAGTACTATACATAGTAAAGGGAGAGTTATGTAATGCTGCAGGAAATCAATTTTGAGATTTCAACACGTGACTTGCCTCGCGAGTTTTGGGGTGCCCTGATATTGAAAGTGTTGATTTCTGGATAGTACTAATTGCACTTCTTAATATGACTAAGTTCATTTTGGGGTATTTATTTGTTTTTTCAAAAATTGCACAAATGTCTTTTTTTTTTAGTATCTCTCACAACATTAATATACACTTTTCCAGCAATTTGTAAACACTATTTTATTTGTGAGTTTAAGTGCTTGAAATTACTTCATATGAAGTTTTTCGAAATCTCAAAAATTATCTGTGAAGAAGTGCTTCAAATTTCGAATTTACAGAAGAGCTAAACACAATGTTCTTAAAAACGCTTCAAAATTTTTCAACGAAAATTGCCACTTAGGATAAGGTTTTACTGTTCTTTAATATACTTAAAATTATTTTACCTTTCTATTACTAGGAAACCAGATAATTAAGAAAATGATAAAAAATGTACTTTGGGCGGCGATAGATGGAAGCTGGCAAAAGTATGTGACAAGTCCGAATAGCTAGCCAAGACCAAAGAAAATAGAAAAGTAACGCAGGAAAGTCAGTGCCATTCTGTAGCACCATTAGTTTAAATAAACATCTCACAAAAAAAATTAATAGTGAATGTGAGTGTCATTAACAAAATCTGGAACAAACTTAATATAATATACACAATAAGATAATTAACGTCATATGTATTGTTTTGAAAAGATTAGTACTTTCCATGTAATTTTAAATACACTATGAGCCATGATTTTTTTGAATGGTCCAAAGTATGCTTATAAAAATGGTTCCAGGCCCATTCTGGGTGTTTAACAAAAATGTGACCTGGACCATTTTTTAAACCATTCTTTTCTTCCAGAAAAATCTTAATCAAACATTTAATGAAAATTTTGAAAATATTGTTAAATAATCAAGTAAAGTATATCCAAAAACAAAATATTTGTTTCAAATTGAAGGGGTCATGACAACTATCTGATCATTTTTTGGTGAAAAACCTGCTTATAGATTACCTGCTAGAATTGTTCATAAATGGGTAGATGGATGGATGGAAGGATGGGCAAACAAATATTTTGCCATAAAATTTTTTTCAGTATCAAGGACTCACAAACTCTAGATTCTGACAACACAATCCGTTAGATGAAGTACTTTACCTTGTGTAGCAACTAGATTTATCCACTTTTTCGGTATCAAGGTCCCACAATTAGAATTTTTCTGTTGAAAACTCCTCTTCCTGATTTAGCAAAAAGTCAGAAAAGTGAATTACAAATCTTCTGAATATTCCTGCATTATTCATTATTCATTTCTCAGCCTTCGTATATCTCTCTGTCCTAGTACTTTATATTTTTCATCAGCCTTTGCGAATTTTCCTATTTTAATAAGTTCTATCTACTTCAGAAATCTTTAAATTCTTTATGATATTTGTTGTTGTTAGTCTTGTCCAGCAGCCCTTATTTCTGTGCCAAATCAAACTAGTATAGAGTAAAACTTAGGTACATTAATTGTATTTATTTCATTATAATTTTAGTTAGTTATTTTTTCATTTATTTTACTTTGGGATTGTTAAAAACCTTCTAAATAAATATTACAACACTTGTACAGAATTTATTAAATGTAGGAAACTATAAATTTACATCTGGCTTTCCTGGTTTATTCTCCTTTCTAGATTTCTGAACTCTGTTAAGTGTTCTGCTGTGATTTCTATTTAAAAAAATATGTAGCTTATCTATGTCGCTGTTATAACTATGTTAAGAAAATGTAGGCACAATAATTAAAATAATAATAATAATAATAATAATAATAAAACAACAACAACAACAACAATAATAATAATTTCATTATCTTTATTCACAGCTTTCTGAAATTGAATACATAATGTTTTGAGTGAAATTTGTTGTTTCCAGCGGTAATAATAACATTTGATATGACAAATGCAATCTCTCTGTCACATTGCTATGAATGGAAGAGAGAGGCAATGTTGGTGAATAACAAATACGTTCATATATTTCTTGTTGGAACAAAAAGAGATATTTTGGTGAGCATTAACTCATTCAAAATTACTTGTAAATGGAAGTTTTTTAATTATTGTTTTGCATTTTGCCTGTGTTTTGTTTCCATTGACATGAAAGACATCACCAAAGGCCTTCTCTGAAATGGAATCACGAGGAATGAAAGTAGCAGCAGAACTGGGAGCTGAGTTATGGTGTGTGTCATCAAGAACAGGCGAGAGAGTGACGGAAATGTTTCACAGGGTTGCAGCTCTAACATTCAATTCTACTTTTCCAAGGGGTGATGAAAGAATCAAGCAAGTAGCTTTGGGTGGTAATCTTATGGGTAAGTCATCTTTTTCTTTTCTACATTATTATGAGTTTTATTTATTTACTTATTTTTTGTTTCATGATCTTGTTTCTCAATTTAGCCTTTAAGAACCCATCCAAAATGTCTCATCAAAAGTGTGTAAGTTGCAACTAACATGCACAGAGTGGAAGAGGAAGTCCAATGAACACATATTCATTGTAATAAAGAGCTAGAATTAATGAAGCAATTGGTATTCCATTGTATTTCATGTCATCAGATAAGTCTGGACAAATTATTATGAACCCTTCGTTTGTCTCATCTTCAATTTTTCCCTTTCATTAAGTTCTTTGTCGTTACACATATTTTAAATTTTGAAATTATAAGAACAAATTCTAATGTTATATTTATTAGTCTTAAAAAGTAGAAACTTTTGATTTTGAATATTCTTTAGTATATTCAAGAAAGAATGGGTTGTATTCAAGAGTGCTAAAGATGTGAAACAAATTGACATTGGTAGTTGCTCATTTTGTTTAGTAAATTTTAATTGTTAGGCTGTAAAGCCCGAATAAAATAAAGATGTGTTTGACATTTGGCTGTGGAGTAGGGATGGATGATTTAATTATGATTAGTACAACAATTTATTATTTTATATGCTCAATCAAAAAATTGAAATAAATTAATTTATTATGTTTTTGCGAAATTCTTTTTAATATTTTTTATATTACAAATTTCTTAATATTTCGCAAAAATTACCAAAATTTTCAGAAATCTATGCTTGACCCTAATGAAAGAGCTAATTACAAAGAAGAAATTTCTTTTGAGGAAAAAATCTATATCTTCAATTTTGTAGTTGTAGGAACATACTGAAAAAAATATCACACTTCCACAATTTTAGAAATGTTAGAGTTAACAGTGGAAATCAGTACTATGCCATCTTTATTAATGTATTTTGTTTTATTCTTACGAAATATTTAATGAAAAAATTTTGAGCCTTTTTTGAGAAATGTTTGGAAATATGCCAGGAGCTTCATATAAAGATCACCCCAAAGTTAAAGAATATTATTCAAAATGGCATAGCTTCGAGTGAGGCCAGATCGACCTGGGAGTATTCAGTTTGGAACAAATCCTATGCAGAGTTTAGGCGCTAGTGTTGTTCCTGGACAGACGGACGTTTTGGAATAAGAAAAAACACTTCTTCGTTGTCACGGTACACCAAAATGAGTATTACAGTTGAAATCTCGAAATCGATTTTTAGATCAGAATTACATGACTTTACTACGTATATTACTAGGTTTATACGTACGTATACGAGAAAGTAAGAAGAGAATTATGTATACATCCAGAGAATATTATAGGAGAGATTATACTTTTTCATAATAGAACTTCGAATTTTGGAAACAGACGTACATTTTGGGAATATAATATGATTAAATTGAGTGAAATTACAACAAAAAATAAATCTGGAATATCTCCAGTGCCCCCATGGACCAGCATGACGTCGTCACTCCGGTAATCTGTTTTGTCCTGAACATTTCTTCACGAGCCACCCGTGCCTGAATGACAGAGCTTAATGTGGACGAAGTGTAACAGCAATGCCTTGTGAATTTATTCAAAAAAATGAACAGAAAAATGCACAAACCCCGAGTTTAGTTGCTTGAGGGTGGAATGCTGATTCCCCACGACATCGTTCGTCTGCACATCGCCAATGTCTTGTAACTGAAAGTTGACTGAATGCGATTGCGAAGTGTTATCATTGATCATCATCACCTACCGAAAGGCCGCATATTTACTGGAATATTTATTATATTGGAGTTAACTTCCCAGAAACTTATATCCGATCTTTTAAATCGTACCCTGAAGTAATTTGGTGCTGGTGATGTTCATAATCATGAATGCACAGCTTAAATATTCTCACAAATAACTGAAGAGTGCTTCCTTATCGTACGATGGTAGCGATCAAGATTTCTCTCTACACTAACAAAATATGAATTTCAAAATGATATTGATTCTTTTTAGAACTGTATTGATTGTAAGCCATCTAATCGAACCATGAAAAATTGGATGCTGGCTTAACAGCAGTAAGGATTGTACAACTATAAAATCAAAACTTCTCGGTAACAAAGTAAAGTTCTAACAAAATTATTCATTTATTGTTAACGAATATGATTTTTAGTGTTAGGTGTATAAGGGTATTCTATCTTCATTTCTCAAAATCGGATTTTCTTTATCAAGGCTCAGGGTGAAGACAAATGAAATCAACTTATATAACCATAACAGTATTTATTAGATTTCACAGTTTGCAGCTAAGCCAATGTTTTCATCAGGAGAGGAAGTAGTTAAACAAATATTTTGTAATTTCAGTGATTTCAACATTAAAAAACATAGAATTATTAATTATATTAAGATATTTACATTCTCGTCTTACGAATTCTTTGTAAGAAGAGAAAGTTGTGTAATCGTGCGCCACAAAACGCCGAAATTTCGCCTGAAAAACACCTTACTGCCGGGTTCTGGTGACGAAAAATGGGAAAAATCCTGTTGCTAATTTTATTAAAAAAAAAAAAAAAACTAACTCGTCGTGTAACTAGAATCCATGTTTTGTTGGTTCTTTATACCGCAAAGTCGATTGACGACAAATAGTCTGTCCATCCGTCTGTGGTCAACGCTAGTGGCTAAACCGTGCTGCCGATTTTCTCCAAATTTTACCCAATCGATGTGGCTGATGTCGCGCCCCTTGAAATTTGAAACTGATAATTTAATTTTGAGAAGTACTTTACATGAAGCATCTCGGCCATTATCAAAATTAAAAGAATAATGGCTCTAAATTGTTTTTGATTAAATTGTGTTGATCAATGGTGCGAAAGACGTTTAAGAGAACGGTGCTGGTCTCATATTCGGTTATATCCCCGATTTTTCGAAAATTGCAACAAACAACAAAAATTACAAAATTGAAGATAGAGGTTTTTGAATCAAATACTGGCAACAAATTAATTCTTTAAAAATCACGTAAATTTCTTTGTAAAATTTAGTAGTTTTTGCGTAATATGCACTTGAAATTTACAAAAAGAAAAAAAGTTTTCTCAAAAACCGCTCCAAATTTTTTCTTTAAATTTTTCCACATGTGTAATAAAGGACGGTAAGCAATATGGTGCTAGTCCCATTTTCGTATATTGTTCGTTTTCTCAAAACTATGAAACTGAAGATATTCTTGCAGCAAAAAAAAATTGTTGTAGAAAAGATTAGCTATTTAAATATAATAAATTAACTAGTGGTGCTATAGAAGGGCACATACTTTATCGCTCTAGTGTTCTTCTAATCTAGATGGTAAACTGAAATGTGCTTCCTGAGAAGTTACCAGGATTATACTTTGGCAGATCACGTTCCCAGTGTGGAGATAAGGTCCACCCTAAAAATGTTCAATCTAAATGACAAAATTAATTAATATACATGCCAATGGGCGAAGCATATCAATAGAATGGAAATGTCAAGATCAACACAAATAGTATATAATACAAACATTTCGGTGTATCAGGATGTAGACGCCCAAGAAATAGCAGGATGACCTCTGAGTTGGAAAGGCCTTAGTTGCTTACCATGGAGCAGACGAAGTAATTTTACTTATATTTTTTTCTAGTCCTAGGATATTAGTACTTAATTCTATGTTCATATTTTCTTCACTATTGTAAAATATATAAATTTTCTTGTTAAAAAAATGTAAAACTTCTTCCACAAAAGTAATGTGTAGAATTAGATATTTATGTAGACAAAATAAAAATGAAGTATTTCTAAGATAAATTTTTTAAGTTTAATAAATAAAAAGTTAAATACTTTTTGTAAAAGATTTTGAATAAATGTTTTTTATCATTTATATTAGTGCTAATTTCGAAAATGCATGTCCAGAACCAATCACTTCAGATAACACCATCACTTTGCGCTTACCTTTATGTGAAAAACTAGTGTGCTAAAGACTAGAACTGATGATATTAGTAATGTTGGTTACTTTAGTGTTCTGAAGTTGTAGCACCTTTGTTTTGAATACGTGAGAAGTCTCCAGTCCGTTGCGGATCGTTGAGGTAGAGAGGCCACCAGCATGTAATACTATTAAACTCTGTGTTAACTGTTTATCTCATCCATTTCCATGTCCAACTCTTGTTATGCCCCCAGGACATGTTTAAAACTTAAGCGATGGGATTTAGTAGTCTGACGCGAGAAATCGGAGTGAAACAGTCGACGTGGAAGCGCATGAAGTCCATCACATGGACGAGTAAATTCCCGTAAGAGTTCCAATAGTTTTTAAAGAACTGATTCAACATGGCTGAGCGATCGACATATTGAATGGCTAACTATTCGGCATGTTATTAACTTAAAATGATGCTGATGGAGTGCGATAGTGTCCATATTAGGCCATCTATTGCTTCCTGGAGATGTCCATACCAATTCAATAATTTTGTTCCAAGTGAATACAAGATTGATTGACTTGTTTCATTATCAAAAGCTTATTGATGGTTGTTTTATATAATATATATATATATATATATATATTATATATAATATATATATATATAATATATATATATAATATATATATGCAGAAATGCGTTGACGTACACCGCGATCTCTGAATCTACTGAAGCAATACCGATGAAACTTTTGTGATGGCTTCCTTTAAAGGCCTGGAGTAATATAGGCTATGATTTATAACCATAAACCTTAATATCTTTACAAAAATTACTTTTCTGTACATTTTCTCCTAGCTCTACATCACAGACACAAGAGTGCATCAATGAGAGTTGAGCTACGCGCCACTATTGGATAACGTCTGATGTCTACTGATTTCATTAATGGACAGAATTGTATATTTAGAGGATTGTTTATTTCCGTCAGTTGCTCAATCTGAAATAATTCTGAGTTTTATCTATATCCGCTTTATTTATAAAAGTAACTTGGATATTGATTTTAATTGTGTATAGGCACGAGTGCATTAAGTGTACAATATACGAAATATTTGGAAGAGATCATTTTCTGATGGATGTGAGTAATATTGTCGTAAAAAGGTACGAATGCACACGTTTAGTTGTAATAAATTAAACATTATTAATAGAGAGTTTTTGCAAGACGGGAAATCCACTTTCGTAGTCGTAAACATCGTCAATAGGAAATTACTAAATTAAGTTCATTATGTTCTATCAAATTCTGTCAGCCTTCAAGCAGCTCTTTGCGTGTATTTTGCAAATGTACATTCCCGCCTGAGATATGGTATAAAAGTCTGGGGAAACTCATAATGTAGTACTCAGACCTTTAGATTGCAAAACAAAATTATTGAAATGCCAGAGAAAATGGAGAAAAGAGAAAAAATGTCTAAAACTGCCAAAAATGCCTTGCAAGCCTCTCTTCATTGAGCTTGGAATCTTACCACTGCCTTGCCTATATATTTAAGAATCTGTAATATTTGTCAAAAGTGACTTACTTAGCGGTGGGAACATATTTTCAAGCAATACTGATATTTATAATTACAACACATGTAAAAATCACGTTCAAGTTTCAGCATCAACAGCTCACTATCAGAAATCTATATACAACACATGTATGTTACTTTATAACGCACTGCCAGATGACATTAAACAATTGAAGTCGCTTCACACATTTAAGTTAAAAGTAAAATATTTTCTACTGAATAAATGTTTCTATACAATTAGACACTATACTGCTTATCAAAAAGAAAAATAATGTTTATATTAACTAAACAGTGATATATAATGAATTAGTTTACATTTGTATTGTATAATTTTTTAAAAGACTTAATATGTTTGTAGCAAATAATGTACTTAAGCTTCCGGGTCAATGACCCCCATCTCGATCAGGTTTTTGTCCAGTTTTCCTGATGAATTGAGCAAATGCTGAGATGGCCCGCTTTGATTCTGGACGTAAATGTAGCTTCATTATGTGCACATTTTGTTGAACTCTCGTTTTGCTTGTAATGGTAAGAGTAGATTGCTTGCTATTTTCTTAGCAATGCAGAAAAAACATACTTACAATTCGTATACCGATGCAAATACGTTTTCTATAACTCAGAAACGAAAATTACTATTTTTCAAATATTGCTAATCTTCCGATTTTTAAAGCTGATTTGTATTTATTTACATTAAACTTTTACTAATTTTTCAACTCTTTATAGTTAAAATGGCGGGAAAGGATTCTGGAACTCAAGAAAACGTGCGCAGATAATCTCCCCCCCCCCTACGTCACATACAAT